GGAGAAGTCCGTTTTGTGGTCGAGCATCGTTTAGGCAACGTTGCGCGCTAGTTTTCTTTGTTTGCGCATCGTTGCCTCGGGATTCCTAACGCAATGGAGAATTCCGTTCTACGATTAAACGTCATTTGGGCAACGTCGAGAGTCAATTTTGGGTGTCGGTCATCACTTTTGACCTGTCTCGTCCAATTTGACTGCAAGGGTTCCCCCCCTAAGGCAAATTCAACATCCTAATTACAACGGAGCAGTCCATTGGCAATTGGAGGTTGTTTGACCCTTCAAGTAACGTGTCACGTCAATGCGCGCACTACTTTATTAGTCGGTTTTGCTCCATTTGTCTGTTGTTTAATGTGCCCCATAAATCGCAATCCACTGTAAATCTCGAATTTATGTCATAAGTCCCAGATTTACGTTGTAAGTCAAGGATTTGCTAAATCTCGTTGTTCGCTGGATTTAAGAATTTACGAACTATAAGATTTACGAGCTTGCAAGCAAGCAATCTCTTATCTTGAAGGAAGGAGCATGCGGTTACCTACGCAACCAATGAGTTCCCGTCGTGCAAAGCACGTACAGCATGCAAAACACGGGAAAATGAAGCAGACACGAAGAAATGGCGACGAGAAAAAGCAAACCTTATATGGGTATAAATTAATCTAAATTAACATTATTCATATAATTCAAACATTAATAATTCATTAGATTACTTAAATAATTAGTATGATAATTAAGTAATCTAATTCAATTTAATTAAATAATTAGTAGTCTAATTATCATTAAATTAGTTTAATTAATATTTATAATTGGTTGGTTATTGTTGTTATTAGTCGCAAGATTGTCATTAAATTTAATTTCTATTTTATCTAACCACCTTAAATCTTTGATTATGTTGTCAAATAATTTCTCAGGATTTATTAGAATTTAATATTTTTCATACCAAATAGTTTTCAAAATTTAACACCCTTCGAATTTACTAAATCCTAATTTATAAAGTTTATAAAATACCACTAAAATTTAATTCAACCCAATACCAAACAACCCTTTTAAAAAAAACTTGCCTTCGTTTCATTATCACTCTCGCACCAAAGAGTCCCGAGAAATTATTACGTGTGGAGTTCGAATGTAGAGTTGTGTCCGGACTCCAATGAAATATTCACACGTTGTCAAAATATAGTTTTTTATGTTAATTACGTGCGGAGTCCGAACATAGAGTTATGTCCGGACTCCAATGAAATGTTCACACGTGGTCAAAATATAGTTTTTTATATTACTACGTATTTGTTGAGTTTTTATTGAGTTTTTATTGCATATTTGCTGAATATTTACTACGTATTTACTGAGTATTTATAATGTATTTAATACTCAATAAATATGAAGCATATACTCAATAAATATGCATAAAATATTCAGTAAATACTCATAAAAAATACTCAACAAATACTCAATAAATAGTTAGTAAATACGTAAAGACCGGACTCCATAAGTAATAATTTCTCCAAAGCCCCTACGGCTCCCAGCTTTCCTCTCTTCTCCTCTGTCGCACTCTCCTAGGCCCTAGCCCAGGCTGACCAACATCGACGGGCAAGCCTCCAGCCACAAGCGAACCCAAAATTCCTCCCTCTCAGCCCTAGCTACCCGCACGACAGTCGTGATATCCCCCTCTACTCTCTGCGCACCACACGCCCCCATTGACGACCCCACTGCTGAAATGCTTGCAATCTCTCTACCCTAGTTGTATGTGATCATCGCCGTTGTAGGCGCTAGGTCTCCTCCACTCAACCTTGCCACTGGCCAAATCTCCTGCTTTCCTCTTTCTCTTTTCTTCCCTCTTCCACTGCCACCTCTGCCATGGCTGCTGGCCACCCGACTCGCCGTTGTCTGCACCGGAGACCTTTCCCTCATCTACTATTCTCACTCTCTCCCTTCTCACTCTCCCTCTTTCTCGGTTTCTTTTTTCTCTATTTTTATATATCTCCACGCTCCACTCTCTCTACCTCTCTCCACTATCTTCCTCCACTCTACCTCCTTCCTTTTCCCTTTCTATCTCCTTCCTTCTCCCTTTCTATCTCTAACACCCTCTCTCTCTTTCTCAACTCTTCTCTCCTTATTCTCATTCACCCCCTCCCTCTCTCTTCGCTCTCTTTAACCCTCTTTCTCTCTCTCTCTCTCTCTCCCATTTTTCTCTTTAGAAATAATGAAAAAGAACAAAAAGGAAAATAGAAAAGAAAAAAAGAGAAAAGAAAAAAGAGGAAAAAATAAAATGGAGAGAAAAGTCAATAAAAAAATTACGTTTTCATCTCATCACTTCGTAATTGTCATCGACATAACCACTATACCAGGCGCACGAGAGTATAACTTCACAAAATTTTTAAAATCTCTAAAATCTCAAATGCAATGTGCTCCGTACGATGAGAAAATCATACTATGGTGTAAGGTTGACGGGACAATGTTGTATTAATGCAACCAAGGGTGACCCAAAAAAGCCTTGAACGAGGGGTTTGCGTCAATTATATGAAATTTAGCCTCTGTGTAAAGTTTTCTAAATACAAGAGGAAATATGAATGATCTCATAGTCTTCTACCCTTTCTCGTACAAATAATGCACCATTAGCTTGTCTTACCTAAGGTGTTGCACATCAAGGTACAATGATCTATGACAAATGATAGATTTACGAATGAGAACACCACATTAAAACTGAATGTCATATCTTGCTTTTCATAATTATATTCATGATGATATTTACCTTATAGTACATTAAACTGATTGATAATGCATTAAACTGATTGACATATTGATAGTTCATACTGCCATTAATATTGATACAATATAGCATAACATACTACATGATTCATTTGGTGATACTACTCTTTACCATATGTCTTATTGTTTGATAGATCTCTTTTGATTTTATTGATCATATTGATTTTATTATTGATTTTTGATATTTGTATTGCTCATATTAACTGATGATTGATATTGATTAGAACTGAACATACATATTGATTATTTTGCCTTCTATTGAAAGCAGTGATAGAGTTTTAGTTTTCTTGTTGGGCTTTTTAGTTCATTATATATGGTTTAAATGATTTCAGGTTAAAGAATGAGTTAGTGCCAATTGGAGTGAGATTGATAGAAATTCTCAGGTTTTCTTTAGATTTTGTTATGCATTTTTTTCATTCTTTTGTAGTTAAGAGCTTGTGATAGATTAATGATTGTGCTAATCTTTTGGCTATTGTATATTAATTTTGAAAATATAGTGTAATATTTTAAAGTATGTAATTGTTAGTTGCTTTTGCTGGTTATATTTTTATTGTTGGTTTGTAGAAATTTTGGTTTATAAAAAAAAATATAAAATAAATAATTCTTTTAAATTTGATTTTGGGTTGTTACATAATTAAACATAGGGATTTGTACTTATATTTATACTGAATCAAGTTAAAAGTCCTCACAAAATGAATGTGAAATTTGTGTATAGTGTCTTCTCTTCAATTTAATATGCCTATCGAAAATTAAACTCAATAAATAATTCTAAAACTCTCCCAATCGAGAAGCTAGGGTGCAAATTTTCAGAGCCCACATATTTTTATTAAGATTCATAAGAGAGTCGATGGCTTGATTGGGATCAAGTGTTTGATGCAGTTCATGCCTCCTATAAGTCTTGATTGCTTCTACCATGGTAAGAAAGCTCCAAGAGCAGGTGACTTACATGCAAGATCTATATGATTGAGTGAGCACTTGATGTATGACACTTGATGAAGTTAAAAAGATTTTTGTTTGAGGGAGAGTGGGAGAGTAGTGATTACCCTGATGCATGCTTTTTGCTGATGATATTCTTCTTTTTGAAAAGGCTAGAGGAGTTAAAGTTAAACTTGAACTATGGAGGTGAAACCTTAGAGTCTAAAGGTTTTCGTTTGAGTAGATCTAAAATCGAAGACATGGAGTGTAATTTTAATAATATTAGATCTAATAAGAGGATTGTGACTTTGGGCGATCAAGTCATTAATAACTGTACATGTTTTAAATATCTTGGATCTATTGTTCAGAGTGATGGTGAAATAGATGGCGATATTATTTGTAGAATTCAAGTTGGATGGTTGAAGTAAAGGAATGCATCAGGCCTGTTATGTGATAAAAAACTGCCCCTCAAACTTTAAATATATATATATATATATATATATAAGATGGTGGTAAAACTTGTAATGCTTTATGGTATAGAATGTTGGTCATTAAAAGACAAGCTTACAATTCAGTTAAGTGTTGAAGAGATGAGGATTCTAAGGTGGATGAGTGGCCATACTCTTAGATATTGAATGCAAAACGAGCATGTACGTGAAAAGGTTGGAGTAGCTCAAATGGCAGATAAGATTAGAAACAGTCGCCTTAGATGGTTTGGTCATATAAAACATCGGCATTCTGATGACCCAGTTAGGAGAGTAAATGTATTAGGTTTGACTTATGTTAAAAGAGGTCGAGGTAGACCTAAAAATAGTTGATTAAAAAATATTAGAAATAACCTTTTTTTATTAGATCAAATTGAGAATTTGACTCTTAACAGGACACAATGGAGAAAGAGGATTCATGTAGCCGACCCCAAATAGTGGGATAAAGGCCTTATGTTGCTGTTGGAGAGTAGTGATCAGTGTAGAAGACTCATATGAGGGGTAGAGTGCTAAGATACACATAATAGTAGTGTAATAGCAATCGGGTTGCTAACATAATAGCAATGACGCTTACCTATGTGCTTAAATTTTTTGGTGAAAAATGAGTTTAACCACTACTTATTCAAAGCCTAAATATGTCCCCCTCATACTTTCTTACAATTTTAGCCAAAGCAATGCTATTTTAGTCAATTGTTCAAACCGACTGAATTGTAGCTACTGCATTTGCTAGAAATTTAGCTTTCTAGTTAAAAGTTCATTTCTATTTTTTTTTTCTCCCAGTTATTCATGTGGCAGGCTCATTTTTTGTTTACTAATAACACTTTTTTTCTTTTTTTTGACGAATAGCTTGCTGGACGGTTACCCCTCATATAAAAAACTGGTATACATATACCTCCCTAACCCTTTTTTTTCATCACTGATTTTTATGATATATGAAATTTTTTTATGAAAATCTCATAAGCGGTACCTATACAATTTCTTTCTGTCTTTCTTTTATTTTTTAGCTACATCTCTTTGTTTAATGAGTTCATTGTTTTAAAGGAATAATTTTATATCCCAAGGTCATTTCCTGCAAAATGCTAAAGAATTACTCCATGAATTTATGACATAAGCTTTTAATATAATTATTTCTTCCAATATATATATATATATAGTGTTTTTAAACTACAGAGCACAAATTACGTTTTGACATAATTAAAATGTAGAAGAAAAAAATCAGCACCATGCTTTCTTACAGTTCCCAAGTTAATGAATTAGTAACTTCTCAAAATATAAGCTTTTTGGTAAATAGTTGAAATCATATCCTGAATTGCAGGTTAAAGAAAAATGGGATGAAAGAATCTGATGCTTACAGATACTTTGTTCTAAGAGCACAAAAAATAGCTTCATCACATGGATACGAGTTCATTAACTGGTAGTTCTTTTCTGAACGCCTTATTTTGATTCATCGCCAATTAATATTCTAATATATGCTTTTGTTTTTGACAACAGGGAAGAAACATTCAATGATTTTGGCAAACAACTTAGCCCAAAAACTGTGGTTCATAACTGGTAAGATTTTGTAATATTTTTGTTACATGATGAAATAAGGGTGTCAATATTGGACCCGATCCGAAAAATTCGGGTTTTGTGTTAACCCGAACCCAAAATGGGTCGGGTTCGTGTTCAACAATTCGACCCGTTTCAAAAATCGGGTCGTATTCGGATTGACCCATTAACCCGAAATTGCCTCGAAAATGACCTGTTTTTGACCCGGCAACCCGAGAATAACTGAAATGAACAGCGATAAGCTATTTTACTTGGTAATATATTGCTTTAGCCAGAGTCTTATAAGGATTTTTTTTCCTTTTTTTCAATAAGGCTTGGTCGTGGAGTTGCTGAGAAAGTAGTTGATGCAGGACTAAGATGCATTGTTAGCAACCAAGACAAGTGGTACCTTGACCATTTGGATGCAACATGGGAAGGTTTCTATTTGAATGAACCTCTTGAAAACATCACCAAGCCTGAACAGCAGAAATTAGTGCTTGGAGGCGAAGTATGCATGTGGGGAGAAACGGCAGATGCATCAGATATAGAGCAAACCATATGGCCTCGCGCTGCTGCTGCAGCAGGTAATATCGCACTTTAGGCTTCGTTTGGGACAGCTTTTTTATTGTTTTCTTAAACGGAGTTTTAATACAAAATTTTTAAATTTTGTACGAAAACTCCGTTTCAGAAAGCAATAAAAAAGCCGCTCCAAACGAAGCCTTAATCTCGTTAGATTATTATCCATATAAGTTAAAATTTTATGTTCCATGTGTTCTGAACTTCTTTTATAAAATAGAATTTGTGATTTATTCTAGAATCCTCATTCATGATTCAGATTTTAACATTGTCAAGCTTGCTCAAGTTTGATTCATAAATAGCTCTTGAGCCAAGCTCGATAAACTTATCATTTCTCATCTAAATTATCATTTTTTAACATTATTTTTTTGCTAATGATTGAATCGACATCTTTTACATATTCCTTGATGAATGAACAAACTCATGAGCTGACATGAACTTGCATAATAGAAATAACAAACCTATGCAATACAGAAACAAATTATGTTATCACAGTGGACTATTTCTAACTCTGCATCTTATGTTATGACCGAAAGAGCGTCTATGGACTCCAACTTGGAAGCTGGCAACAGATCCCAAAGTAGTTGCACCGAGATTGGCTCACTTCAGATGCTTGCTCAACAAACGAGGAGTGGCCGCCGCTCCCCTGTTTGCTCCTGGTAGAGGCACTCCACCATTCACTGGCTCCTGCATTCAACAGTAGTCGCAGAGCAGAAAAATTATTATGCGGGTACCGTTAGGTATTCAATGCTTGTGCGGACGATTCTCTCCACATCTGCACTCCGCACCTAATAATCTCTCCGCAGAGCAACAGTTCTGGATATCAACATTGTACTATTCATTTATTGTCTATTAGTCTGGAAAATAGTCTTGTAATATCTAACAGAAAAATATTCAACAATAAAATGGCTCCATGTTTGTATTCAGTATTTCAATATTCTAAATATTCCTCACCACAATTCTGAATTATGATAACGCTTAGAGACTCATTACGGTCTGGGTTCGGACATCGTACACAACTTACCGTTCTGAGACCAATCAGATGCAACTGCATTATTCAGTATCGAGCTTAATACCGAGTAAGGGGTGATGTAAGGGGTGATGTGGCGCATTTTCATTGGGTTATGGACGACGTACGCGGTCCGAACCCAATAATTTCACCTGCTCCACAGCCATCCCCACTGCAAACCTTTTCAAAGTTGGTGAGGCAGTCCTCCATTCCGCCAATATATCTCTCCATGCCCGGTATTCGGTTAGCCAGATCAAGACCCATCTTCATCCATTTCCTAGCTGTGGTGACCTGTCTGAGCCGGATTGCTATTCCCGACTTGTTCCAAGCAGTCATTGCAAGCCATTTCCCTTCTTCGGGAGGATACTCCCCCTCCTTCAGTCCCACAATGATCTGATATGCTTGTCTGTAGACAGCATAAGCTGCTTCATTCCTCCTGCCATCATCCATGGCACAAAGACCGGCAATGCCGACTAGCCGTCGGAGGACCATGCTCACCATCTTATAGTTGGGAGCTGGCGATTCCAGTAAACTTGAGAGGCACTTGCTGAAGGCAAACTCCGAGACCTCAGGGTTTGGCCTCCGACCTTGAGAAGCAAAGAGACCAATATGGAGGAGGTTGTTAGGGTTGCATGCATTCGTGGAGGCAAAGCACTTGATCAGTTGGAGTTGTTGGTTCCCAGTGTCATCGAGCCTGTTGAGGAGTTTATAGGTGTTGAATGTGTGGAGGAAGAACATGGTTGATGTTTCAACTAACTGATCGCCATTATCAGATGCTGACAAAGCTATTGCTGGTAGTATCTGCAGATGAATGAATCCAAGAATCAGAGTAACCAAGGATTTTTGAAGATAAAATGACTATTGTTAAGCAACTGATGATACCTTCTCAGCTCTGTGGAGCATTTCCATGGCTTTCTTGACATCAGAGTCGGTCATTAAAACCTTCTCCTCCTCCTCGGCATTGATCATTGCCACTGTGCTTAAAATCAAAGACTTGCAGACCATCGCCTGTTTCCCTTCGTTCTGATCGCTACATGCACCATAGAACTCAGCCGCCAGCTCAAAAGACTCAGCACAAATTTTGTATTTTTTATCCTTTCCCATCTTCAGCCCCATATTCCATGTATTGCCTGCAAACCAGTTTAGCTCACGAGCACCAACAGCTCCTTTGCCAAAGAAACTCTCAGCCCCAAGCTCATTCATTCTTGCCTGAACTCGCCTGGTGTGCTTCAATATCTCTTGCTCAGTTTCTGAGTCACGATGGAGAAGGGTGATGAGGTTACGAAAAACTGTGACTTCCATCATAGGCATTTGCTTTCCTGGGGAGTAGAGATTGAGAAGAATGGAAAGGGATGCCACAGCAACCAGAAAGGACTGGCAGGCAATAGCCTCATGGGTGCAGAGAGTGAGGAACTCAGGGGTGAAGTCGATGCAACTAAGCATCGATTGTATCTGATTGATGGCCGCCTCCTCGTCCTTCTTTTGCAATTGGATCTTAAACTGTTCTTGTTCAAATAATTATAACAATTAGTATACTAATAAACATCGCAATACTGCATTTCTTGAAATAAGGTTTAAGGATTACCTTCAGAAAGGAGCATTTGATGTTCGGCTCAAGCTGCAGAGAAAAATGAAAGACCAAACTCAGTCGTCAATGGAAGCTTCTGCTCCTGTATTCAGACAAGTATGTTTGCAAATACCTTCTCAGCTTGGTCGATGAACTCCTGAGCTCGATCAAGCTGCACGAGTGCGAGGTGGCATAGACTAAGAACCCTAAAGCAATTTGAGCGCCGAGCTCTGTTCTCGTCATCGCGGGGCACGTAGAGCATTGACTTTTCGAACAATTCAACGCTAATTTCATACTCTTTCGATCTGAAATACTCCGCACCCCTGGTTTGCATCACAGAAGAAAGATTCTGACGCTTCCAATGCAGCTGCGACCAATGAACAGAAAGAAAGTAAGACGTTGCAGGAAACTAACCAGTTCCAGAGCAACGCGTGCATCGCATTCCTCTCCTTCTCCGCCATGGAGCCAACGAAAAGCGCCACTACTCTGTCGTCCGATGCTAGTTCTGCTGCTGCCATCGCCTTCACAGCACTGCTACCACTCTCTGCCACCATCCTCAATACCCTCAGCGCCGCACCGGTTCCATCCCTGCAACGCCCCAAGAGCATCATCATTATCTCCTTGGCCGCCTCTGCCCCAGCAGCAGCCAAAAACGCCTCCGCCGCTGAGACGCAGGCAGTTTCCGGCACCCTCTTGTTTGACATCATCTCTCTCAACTCCCTCTCAGCCTCTGCTACCCTCCCAGCCCCAATACATGCCTTCATCGCGACGTATCCTACGCTCGGATGTTCTTCATTTCCCTCAATTCCTCTCAAAACGCTTACGCAACTCAATACCCCCTCGTAGTCCTCTGCTTGCAGTCGCTCTGCCGCCATGAATCGGAGGCATCGCGCCTTCAAGCGCTCCAGATCTAGGGTTCCCCCCGTCGAGATTGCTATACCTTTCTCGCACAAGTCGAGCGCTTCGCTTAGTAGCTTGGACGCGTCGATTAAACCTTCGGAAGAGCTTTTGAGGCTAAGCTTCCCAAATTGGAGGTATTGCTCCGCTAGGGCTTGGAAACCCGCCTGAGATCTGAATAAAACGTTCTTGGAGCGGCCGAGAAGCGCGATCGAGAGGCTCCGATCATTCGCCTCCCAAGCCGTCCGCGCCCTGGCGAGATTGAGATCGAGCAGCATCCGCTTCTCATCCTCACCTTCAGCACGAGACGATGAGGTGAGGTCAGTGGCCTGCTCAAAGTTCGCAGCAGCGCGGTCGAGCCTGCCTAGGTCGTGCCAAATGAGGCCAGCCTTGTGGAAGAACGAAGCGGATTTGAAAGCAGGAGCGGGGATCCCCTTGGGATTTTTGGCAACGAGGAGGAGTTCAGCGGCAATCTGGCGGAGCTCAGCCTGCGCTACATATATGCGACCGCGATACCCTGCTTCGACGGTGGAGAGGACGCCAACGGCGTTGGAGATGTCGACGCATGCATTCCATAGGCGATAGCTGAGCTTCCATACCTGAAGCTTGGCCGAATCGGGGAGAAGAAGGTTAGAGGAGTTGTTAGAGAGCGATTTGCGAAGGCGGATGGCGAGATTCTCCAGCGAGGAGAGGTCTTCAATGGAGAGGGATTCGACTTCATTGACGGAGGACTCGATTTCTTCAAGGACGTGGAGATGTGAAGGTTGCGAGTCACCCTCTGCAGACGGACGACGGAGCTCTGGCGAAAGCTCGGAGATTCGCATCAATGGAGACTGCTCAGCGTGGTAAGGAAAGGTGTTCGCCAATTCGAATAGTGGGTAGGACACGACGAAATGGCGGGAATTCTCTCTCTCTCTCTCGCATATATATATATATATATATATATAATTATTGTTTATTATTTTTTATTCCGTGAGAGTATGAGACTGAGAAAAATATAATTAGCTTGGACAGTTGAATATAAAGCAAGTAAGATCATATTCAAATTTGAAAATTTGGCATTATTTCATTCATAATAGTTGTAATTAGAAAAACATAGTTATTATTTATTCACTTAAAAATATATAATAGAGTCATTTTGATCTAATGTTTGACTCTAGAGAATCATATATTGAACAATGATTTGTAATTGTTTTTCATAAAATTTTCGTAAAGTCAACATAGTCCTCATCGAAAATAGAATCCCTCAAATTCTAACATCCAATATTAGTCAGTCACGGACTAGATCAATTCTACCTTGATTTTGATTTGAAATTTGGCAAGAATGCAAACGAAGCTATCATTGACATCGCCAAGGATAGAACCCTCATGTTCTAACATCCTGGATCATTCAATCATGTGTTAAATTTCGGCATGATACCTACACATGATGAATAGGATCGAGTATTGGGCAATCTTCTCAAAACCAACCAAGAAGAGATATTCTTAGTTGAGTTTCAAAAAACTACTTGTTAAAGAGAGCAACTCTTATGTCAATAAGTATCATTATAGGTCCTCGAGCACCAAGACCCGTCAATAATCTCATCAAAATTATGAGGTATTCAAAAATGAGTTGAAATTACTTTAATAATAGTTTTTTTTTTTATGCATCTAAATTTGGCTAGTTATGTAAAGCCAAATGATGCATAACTAGTACCACTATAATTTTTTATTAGATTGATCATCTTTTATTTTATTTTAATATTGATGTGAAATGACCTACTCAAGTTTGTTAACTAAAATGGTCTTCAGATTTAAATTTTATTAACTCAAATCAAAGCTCCCTGCAAACTAAATCAAATTTTCATTTCTTCTTCTTCTTCTTCTTTATTAAATTCTTATCCAAATATATTTAAATTGGAGGAAGTTATTGAATCTTTTCACATCTTTTGCATGACACATATTTGTATATTTTATAAAGCATCAATATTTAATGAAGAAATTAAAATTAAGATTCTTATAATCAAGTGTTAAAAATATTAAAGAATAAATGGGTGTTCCAAGATTCAAGGATTAGAAAGGAAAGTTATCTCATTTTTTTTTAACACATTTTATGTATATGCATCAATTTAACAAAGCATAGGATAGAGAATAAGTTCACCCTATTCATGGGCTTTTATTATTTCATTTCTTTTACTCTTTTCTTTCTTCTTCTTTTTATAGGAGGCTTCCCTTCTCAAACCTTGAAAAGATCATTCTCAATTGTAATATCATATTCCTTTCTTAAGAGAACAAAATTAACTCTCTTATGTAATGATGATAGATCTATAAATCAAAACCTGATCCTCTCGTAAGATTAAATAACTTGATAAAGATATGAAATAGGCTCACAAACATGCAAAAATGCCTATGAGATGAAGAATAGCAAAGAGATGGAGAAGATTTTTATTTATAAAAACAATATATATATATATATATATAAAGCCACAAATGATTAAAATTAATTTTACTTTGGGTGTTCACTATCATTGATATCTCTAAGATAAACATGTAGATAATAAGATAAAAAATTACTCAAATCTAATAAATTATATACCAAGGCTTTTAGGGTCAACATTAATCTCCTTTAAGATCTATATAATAATTCTACTTGTGTTGTATAATAACTATATCCAAATTTATCCTTTAAACTCTCTTGCATCATATATGTAAACTTGCATATGTCTTTTTCAGGTACTTAACAAGTAGCTGATATGTCATAATAGGTGAACTTGTACCTCTTTGACCTTGGTAATGAAGACTCACATAAAGATCGCCAACCCTCAGACTTTGAAAACAAATAGAGGGGGGTCGAAAGAGCATTTTGTGGCATGAATATTATAAAAAATTAGGTGCTAAATAGAATTGGATATCAATGGCTGAATAATATGTTAATCGCTTATATTGAAAAAGAAAATTTAGATTGTATTGATAATGAACTAATCATTCAACTCTTTCAGAATATGAAGAGCAGACGAATAAACATTAAATATTATTTACATCATAAAAATTAATCAAAAGCTATATTTAAAAATATGTATCGTGTATTGTTATCTTGAGAAGTTCAGTTTAATTTTTAATCTTACATGACCTCGACACATTTAGTAATATTTATATAAGTTTTTTTTGAATTAAATGAATGGAGAAGTAACAAGAATGGCCATGTCATCCGAGTAAACTTAATTTGAGCTTATTCAAATATTAATAAATATAAAAATTTTAAAAGTCATTTTTAATTTAAGTATATTAAATTTATTTAATTACATGAAATAAATAATAATTGAACCGATCAATTCTTAAAATATGCACTGGTTTGACGATTGAACCGCTACAATTGATTTTATCTGGTTCATTGCAAAACCAATTTTAAAAAAATCGGGACCAACAAGCCAACCAATTCCCAATTGACCCGTTCGAACCGATCAGTCCAATCCGATTTTCAAAACAATGAAAATTACTTATAACATTATTTTAAATATTTTTTAATTATTAATTAGTTTTATGAACATTTTATTAAAATAAGTCTAATAATTATTTTATAAGTATAACACTGATAAATTTGACTCTAAAAAATAATAAGAAAAAATGAATAACAGCAATTAAAAAAAAAAAAGTTAATAAGCCAGACAGAAGAGGAGAATAGTATAGAATCATCTAACGATTTTACAGGCAATCAGTAAGCGTTAGTTCCTTGTCTTCTGTCCAAGCTCTTCGCTTCCAAGCCTTCATAAAGGGATGGTTGGGTCTAAGGTCAAGCAAGAGAGCTAGATCAAGCCGGCGAAAGTCAGAGGGGAAGACATGCCAGAGCCAAGGAAGGCTTACTTATCTAGTAGGCGTGAAGTTCGCCTTAATCTTAATAAGGCAGTGGCAAGTTAGGAATGACTTGTGGACGAAGCTCCTTCTTATTCTTTGACTGGTTGTCCTACAATTAGCAAGGAGTGGAAAGCAATACAGTAAGGCTAAAGGGCGGGCATAAGTCATAGGTGAAGTAATCGTCTTCATCTATCTCTGATTCAATTTAGAAGTCTTTCTACACAACGAGTTTTCTTAGTGGAATTTTAATGCATTCGTTAGTAATCTAATTATATGCATTATTCATGAATTGCTTCTCGCTCCCATAGTAATAATTCTTTTTTTTCTTTTTTTTTTTTTTTCAATTCTTAATTCCAATATGTGCATCGGTCTTGATCTTAATATTCTTTATAAAACAAAGATGTAAAAGTCTACAATCAAAATATTTTCTATCCAAATTTGTATTCCTATCAATAAGATATCATGTTTCTAGATAATCATTACTAGGTATACTTACCAATACATAAAATGATTCAGATTTCAATATATTGAAATGAGATGGAATTTTTTGGTCCCCATTTCTTTGTAATGTTTTAGATAAATCATATTGATATTGACCTTTTAACCAATTTTTCCATTCGTTTATTACATAAGTATGAATTTTCTTATGTGAATGAAATATTTCAGGTATCATTTAATAGTCTTTGAAATTATCATTAAAAAAAAAAAAGATAGTTCCCCAAGTACATGTCTCAATTGATGCATATTGTTGAATTGGTTTTGAGATATTTTGTAAAACAATATATGCTTGGGACAGGGAATATAAGATCCAATAAGTATTGGAATTTTGGTATTATTAGTATTTGAAAATATCTTTTATGGTCAAAAGAAAATTCATTCTATTTTGATTTGTTTCATCAATTCCTTCTTATTCTTGATTTATTTCATTGTTGTAAATAGATTTATTAAAGATCTTTTTTGTTAATTCAAAGAAAAGTTGTTCATTTATCTTAAAAATGGTAATGTTACATAGCAAAACATCTATGTATATTTTTTCAGTGAATGATTTGATAAAGTAGTGTGATTTACGCATTAATATGATATTTTTTATTTTTCATATTTTCCAAATATGTTTATTTGATCCCTATCCTTTATTATTAGAAATTAGAACATTTTTTTTTTCATTAGATCTCTATGATGGGATTGGGCTTTAGATTTTCTCCAAAGTTTTAGATAGAAAGGATATAGAATCTTTATATGAATACCATCTATTAATCAATCTTGGAAAAAATTTTGTTTCTTATAATTGAACATCATTATAGGCGCATTTAATATGAATTTCTCTATTTCATTGCTTAAAATTCTCATCCCACTGAGGAATTTGGAAAAATAACAAAAGGAAAAGATTTTTGGCTATTATTAATGAAGGAAACATAATGTATTTTCTAAGAAAAGATTTGGTTAATAACATCAAACTTCTTATTACTTGGGCAAATAGAAAAGCATCCCAAGCTTTTGATATTTCTATACTTCTTTAATTGTATATAGAATATAGAATTTTCTAATATACTATAATGTTAAAAACATAATGAGAAATTCAAAAGTAAAAGATTTTAGAAATGTAAGAACAAAGAAAGAAAGAATCAATCTAAAGATCTTTTTCTTTTACCTTTCTATCCAATTTGGTTTCTAGCACCTTTTTAATAGAACTAGAATAACAAGAAAAGAAAATAGAAAAGAAAAAGAAGGAAGGCGCTAGGATAAATTTTCGTCAAAAAGAAAAGGCAATAGTTTGAATCAAAGAAAAGAGGGACTTAGTTAAAGGATGACCCTATCAATAAAGGATACCGCAATAGACAATCGCTTGAAAGGACATAGTAAGAGATGGAATGGGCTTAGTAAGGGATGGGCCTATTCTACCAATATCAACTGAGGTGCAAAGCAAGATAATAGTCTTTGATGGATGAAGAGCTAAAGTAAAATTCAATTTCAAGAATGAATTCTATTGGCACAATTCAACTATACCTAACAGTTGCTACTAATTTGACTCGATATTTTTAATATATTACTTTTTAAAATAAATTTTTAATATATTTTTAAATTAAAAATTTTGATACTAAAAATTGTTTTTAAAAACAGTGAGAAAGACAAAACCTTGGTCTCATCTCAACTACAAAATCTAGAAATTGGGGCACGACATACATGCATACAATGGAGAACACGATTTCGCTATGATCATGTCCAAATTAAGGTTTCGTTTGGAACGACTTTCTTACTGCTTCTTAAAGCAGCTTTTTAGTATAAAAATTAAAATTTTTATTCTAAAAAACTGCTTTAATAAGTAGTAAAAAAGCCGTCCGAAATGAAGTCTAAGAATCCTTTACTTTGTAATATCCACAATGAAAACGGTCATATATCAACTATTCCAAAATTAAAAATCATACCATCTGGTTTTATATTTGCATTCGGAAACTCACACTAAAATGTAAAATAAACTGAGTTAAATCCCAAATTTCCATAACAAACTTCATCTCCCTGATAAAATGAACTATTATCCTCCCGGAGAAGGGCCAAAAAATAAAATAAAAAAAATTAAAGGGACGCTTTAAGTCTGAAACAGGACTATAAGAACACCAAAAAAAAAAAATGAAGGCCAAGTCTGCATCTTTCACTTGCTCTACAGACTGACCTTAGGATCACCAATTCAGCAAGCACACACTGAAAAACTGGGTGCCATCAATGCTTAAACACCAGTGACAGCGGGCGAGGTTGTGATTGGCCTTCCACGGCCCATTGCGAAACCTCTCGTGCCATCCGGCATACGAGGACCTGGAGGTTGCCGGGAAGCTGCAGGCTGCTCGCTGTGGATAAGATCGTTCGATGGTGGCGTGCCAATTGCATGGCCGTGGCCGTGGCCACCGCCACCGCCACCACGTTGATTATTATTGTTATTGATGTACTGTCCTCGTGCACGGCCTCTCCCTCGATCCCGTCCCCGGCCACGCCTCCCCCCACCATTTTCCTTTTCATTCAAACCATCATCACCCTGCTCCAGTCAAACTCAAAAAAGTAAGTACTTGGAGAACAATAAGCCTAGGCCTACAATAGGAGTAATTATTGTGTCCGGACACCGAACGCATCCAGAGACCAATAAAAATACGCCACATCACTAGGCGCTCGGTACCGAGCTCGGTACCGCGGTCGGTACCGATAGCAGTATTGCTCGGTATGCTCGGTACCCTGTCCGGACACAATAATTTTTCCTACAATAGACAATCCTGATTTCAAGGTGAGGTGCTTACAACTAGTTCACAGGATGCTTCAGGCGGTTGAGATGGGTACTCTGGCTGCCTCTCATTTGGTTGGTTGGTTGCGAAGACATCTTCTTCCTCTCCAATGCCATCACATTCATGCCCTGCTTTTCTTCCATGAGCTGCAACTTGTTTTGCCTGAGTGAAGGATTAGAAAAAGTATCCTATTTATATAAATTTTTTAATCAACTTTTTTTGAGAAAATTTGTTCATTTTATGCTTTTAGTTAGATGGACAATAATTGGTAGCACATAGTACATATTTAGAGCAATGAGAAGAAAAATAATCACTAAAAGAACTAAAATACCCCAAAGGGCTATTCGTCTATGCCATTCAATATCTAACTTGTGCATCAGAATAAGAGTTATCAAGTGACTGGCAATGTCATTAAAGTAGAAGAGAACTTTTAAAACAAATAAAAATACCATGCATTTATTCAGTAGCCGAAGCTTAAGCCCACTTCTCCAATTCCTTTCATCACTGAGGTCGGAAAGCTGATTCGATGCAGCAAATCAATCTATTGACCACAATAGCAACATTAAAAAACTTAAAGTTCAAGGCTTACACATTTCTCGGCATCCTCGACAGTCTCATATTCCACAAATGCATGTAACTACAAGTTGAACAATGAAAAAAAAGATCAAAAACAGAAATCTACAATGTATAGGGCGGAACCGATGTGACTTTTGAGTGTTAGCAAATTTCTTACATGAATAAATAAATATAAAAAAATAAAAAATATAAAAGACATATTTAAAGCAAAATCTTGTTATATTAAATTACTAATAAAAGGCTCTTAAATGAATTCTTACAACTTAAACACCTTGTAAAGACTGTATCAAGCAACCTTCTAAACTTAGACTTTAATAAAAATGTTGGAATAAATTAAAAAAAAATGGAAAGAAAACAATCTATATGATCGTGAATGATAACTTTGTTTTGCTCCCAAATGATTTTCCCATAGCGAGATTTTATGCGCAAATACTATCCATATTATTCAGAATTCTATTCTAATTTTCACCAAACAAAAAATAAATAAATCCTAATCAAAATAATTTTCTGCAATCTCCAGCTCAAGTTCAAGATTTAGGGTTTCAATTAGAAACAAATAGATTTCTTCTATTTTGATTAGTATTATTTTGATTTATATTTGAAAATTAAAAAAAAATGTAAAGCATATAACTTCCAAGCCTCGGTGTCAGCAGTGTCTACAGAGCGGCATAAGAGACAGGGACACCTGACTGGACCAGATGGCGTATATGAAGCGGTTCATACGTTGAGCGAGCAACAGGCGCAGCGATGTCATGAGGCTATTGTAAACTGGAGAAAGGAAGAGAGGGAGTATGTTGTTCGTCGATGCGTGAATGAGAGCAGAAGGATAGCGAGAGCAAAAAAGGGAGATATTTTTATTTTTAATTTTCTTATATCAAAATTAGACAAAGGGAAGCGCTGGCTTCTTGTGTGTTTGATTAGTAGTCTTTTCATTTTGCTCATTTTTTCACTATATTTAATGCCAACAAACCAATTAAAATTTAAATATTTAGGGAGGGCAATTGCCACCCTTATAGCTAAGGCAGATCCGCCCTTGACAACGTAGTCAATACTTATTTAGACTGAAAAGATGCCGGTAATGCCAAAAAGACTACAGTAAAAAAGCTTCATGGCTATGTTCAGAATGATGAATATTTCAAATTCAGTAAAAGTTGACGATTCCAGGTAGAAGAACCGTAAAGCAAGTAATATGGTTCTGATGCAGGCTGATTTCTCAATTAACCCGGAATGATCTTGCTTCACATTGGAGCTTTAAATGTTATAAAATTTTCAAGTACTTTATCATGCTACAAAATCAGCACATGTAAAAGTTATTCATGATTGACTTGAAGTGCTTGCAATATTTCAGAGTTACAGGCTTAAACAAAGGTAAACGAATGCCCTGTAAGCACTCTAAAGAACATTACCTAGCCATATAGGGTAAGGTAATAATGTCAACTACTGCGAAGGACGAGGACCAAGACAAATAAAAATACCATATTGTAGAAAGATTTAATTCAGCTTTGTTTGGATTGAAACAAGGTGAATGAAATGAAATCTCAACAATTTCTAATTTATTAGTGGATTACGAATCTCCAGCCATTAATTTAGCTTTCAACCCTTCTTGTTTCATTTCAGTTCGCTCAAATTCCAAGCACCCATACACTGCCTTCAAGTCTCTTCGTGAAGAATTCATCCCAAACCACTATAATAAAACCATGCCTCAAACAAAATGAAAACGCTCATATATTAGCCAGATCCTACCTAGTCCTACTCTGTACTACAAAATACAATTCTACCTGCTCCGCATAAATACAAAAGACCATAATTATGGCACATTAACAGATACTTGAGCTTTATGAACAAGAAGTATTTGAAAAATACCAATCGACACCAGCAAGCAACAAGAGAACATTAAAAATCTACAATTAGGCATACCTGCATTGTTTGCAAGACATGAAGGGCTAATTGACATTCATAGAAAGATTTATCTGAATAATGTCGCAAGACTAAAAGAAAAAAGAAGCACACTCCAGAAGTCTAGCTGCATGCATTCTCTGCCGAATTCAACCCATGTAAATTTGCTAGGTAACTTAACAAGTTATGTTGTATCACCATTATGGGTGAAAAGTGTTGAATCTAAATTTATCCGTAGATGATACTCGACTTCACTGGCAAGCTCCTACTTGCTAATAAGTTATAACTTGTGAGAATGGAAAGTGAAGAATGGAATAGAGAAATGCTATAGAATGATCCAAAAATTGTAAATCTCAAATTGGAAGCATAACTATTCAATCAATCCAATTTGTTTCTTAGCACCCCTAATTTATAGAATTATGAGAGCTACAAGAAAAGTTATGCAGAATAAAAGTAAAAAAAAAAAATAATGCTACATAGAATATCCCTACAATGCTACACACTACTCTAGATACGTGTCTGCCCCTTATTGGCTGAAGGAGAGTGAGGTCAGAAGAAGACTTTAGCGAGTTGCTTCATGATCGGCGGACAGTATGATGAAATCCTCAACGACAGATACAAAGTCGAGATCAAGTACAGCCTAAAAAGGCTCGCCTAAGGGTTTAGTTGTCTGAGGTTCCGAAACACAGTCATATTCTTTGAAGAGCTTTCAGCATAAGAGGAGAGTGATGGTGCAAGAGCTATTTTTGATTGAGTTATACTTGCCCATCGTTATAATAATTTTTATTTTTTTTTGCCAGAAGGGAGATTGTACATGTAACTTTTTATAATGAAATGAAATGCAATTTTGCCTTACTCATCTTCTTATTGTATATGTTTTTTCTATCTTCAAAATTTCTGTAAGTATTTGACTCGCATGCAAACAATATATGAATGCATTTGACTATAGTAATAATAGATTACTATTAGTCACCCATTTATAATTGTAGTAATGAGATGTAAGGACATTCGCTCAAGTAAGAAAATGAGACTAAGAAATTCTACAAGCATCAACTTATTGCTTATAATTGAGTACAAAATTAGGCAAGTAAATGGAAATAACTTTTGTAAAAAATTTAAATTTAACTCAGCATTAATAATAGCTTGCAAAATATGAGCTCGATATTTGAAAAAACGCATGTTTAACACATCGTTTAGAGCACATAAACATGGGCTCGGTGAGAAATTCATTTTACCTTGACTCTTGACAATAAGAAAACCCAAATTTTCAATTAAATAATAATCATATCTGAGCGCGCCATGGGAATAGAAAACACAGGAACTCGGCATGGATTCTTGTAATGCTTGAACTCAACAATGTAGTGAGCAAACTGGATATAAAAATACCCTAACAAAATTGCTACAAGGAATAGCATATAACCATTTGAGAACCATCCAAGTTCTAGCCTAGACAAAGGAGTGCTTAACAATGAGCAAACTAGTTGGCTTTGATTCTTTATAAAGCAAGCTCATGCAAGTATGTTTTATACAAAATCGCCTTATGTGGGTTGTGCCTTACGCCAAATTTTAGAGTTCGTAGGGGTAACCACCTAGACTTGCCTGCTATAAGGAACCCGCACTGCACATTGCGTATCTTGTCAGAAAGGGGGACGCCGACTTATAGAGTTGCTCGCTTATATACTCGTTGTCACCTCTAATGTATGACCACTAAACTTCTCATTTATAGGGAACTTGCTTGCTACTCATTACAGATTTTGTTGGAAAAGGAGTCAACCTATAGTGGCTCAACAATTTGTTGTAGGAACTCGGCAACTAAGTATTTATTTTTTGGGGTGTCTATGATGCATATTGGCGAGTTAGTTGTTTCTTAATTTTTTATGTATGTTGATTATTTTGTCTAAGGGACTATTTGATTTCCTAAAAAAAGAATGAAGTGTAAAAGTAATGCGATGTAAAAATAATACTTTGGAGTTGTATCAATGTGTAAAATAAATACATAACTTTACTTTTTTTTTATTTGAAGTAAAATGAATGCAATATAAAGTGTAAAAAAGTTGTGCCTAGAGTGGTCGATGACGACCGGCATTGGAGGGCAACGGTGGTGGTAGCAGTGGTGGTGGCTAGCGGCGGCAGCTTCCTATGGTATGCTACGGCTACTTCCAACGGTAAGCAATTAGCGGCTAGCAGCAGTGGTGGTGGTTGGAGGCGGTGGCCAGCAATGGCCGATGATTGGTGGCTGCAGCAAGAGTCGATTGTGGTGGTTGGAAGGGTCTGATGGCCTACGACTTGCAGTGCTGGTGGGAGGTGTGCGGTCGCGAGCGACCGCGACTGTGGGTGGAGATAGCAAATGGTGGCGACGGGGTAATGGTCGGCGGTGGAAGATGATCGGTGATCGGCAGTGGACTGTGGCAACGGCTGGCAATGGCTAGCTGTGGAGGCAATGGTCAAGCAAGCTTTGGAGTGGTGTAAACGGTTCTCGCTCAAAACTGGGCGAGAACAGTTTACCTCAAAAATGAACTAGAATGGAATACACTGTATTCACTTTACCTTGTATTTATTTTTCATTCAACCAAACACCAAACTTGTCAAAACTCCTACATTTACTTGACTTTACACTCACTTTACTTCCAACAAAACAGCATCCTAAGTGATAAACTTTTATGCCTTCTTCTATTTCTATTCCTTTTTTTGTTTAAGTTGAGCTAGCTCGCAAAATTAAGTTGATAGGAATTTAAATGTGATTTGCCAAAGCTACTCGATGGGTAATAAGGAATGTACCTCACTTGAACGACAATTGTTCTCTTGGGAGCTTTTGCTTGCATGCAAATCTTTGTGCTTGGGGGGCCTCAACACTACTATAGGGAGTAGTTGGATTTGCTTCTTAGCTTAAGCCTGGGTGAGAACTCGATTGGTTCACATCTCAATTGGTCACATTTCGTTATTATGGAGTCAAGCCTCTAAGGCTAGTGAGTTTTAGTTTCTAGTTTATTGGGAGCTAGCCCAAATGCTTCACTGATGCAATCAAAAATTGGGGAGAGGGCCCCAAATTCTTGATCACAAAAGAAACTCTTTCTATGAACAAAATAAAGACATAAAAATACTCAAAAAGACACAAATTCTATAAACCACAACTTTATATAATAAAATGACTTACAAACAAAGACT